AGAGAAGAGCGAGGGGAAAGTGGGGGGTGTGTGTGTGTGTGTGTGTGTGTGTGTGTGTGGAGAGACAAGGAAGGCAGAAAGAGGCGAGAGAGCCAAACACATTCTTCTTAATAAAGTATCAGAAAAATGGAAAAACAAGTATCCACTCAATACTAATGTGAATCCCGTAGATTAACTAATACACACCCTAAGAGAAAAATAATTCAATTAAGAGAAAACTAATTCAATTTAAGAAGGGGCAAGGTGGGGGGAGAGGGCAGGAGGGAGGTTGGGTATGCTCCCACTTAATGGGCACAGTGTAAGGGGATATGGCACGCCTCCTGGTTACAGGACACAATTATGACCAGGACTCTAGCTAACAAATGCAAACATTATAACCTAATTGTTTGTTCCCTCATATTAATCTGAAATAAATAAAAAATAAAAAAATAAAACATGGTCAGTGTGATTAAAGAACTGGAATTTAAATGTTATTGAATTTAAATTAAATAGTCACTTGCGGCCACCGTATGGGACAGTAAAGCCCTAGAACTGAGCTTGAAGGGACCCAAGTGATCACTGAGTCTAACCTCATTTTATAAAGGAAGAAGCACGATCAAGAGCTTTGGAACAGGAAAGAGATATTCAAGTCCTGGCCTCACACCTAGCTGTGTGATCTTAGGCAAGTTACATCAATGCTTTAGCCTCAGATTTTCATCTATAAAATAGGTCTAATAATACCTGCATCTCCACCTGGCTGTGAGGAGCAAAAGAAATAACATGATGGGCAGACATGGGTTCTGTTCATGAACCACATGGACTTCAGCAGCAGCCAGAGCCATGACCATAATGCTGCTCAGCCCCAGGGGCACCATGAGCATTCCGTCCAGGGGCTCCTGGAGGTGTGCCACAGGGTGGCTTTGAGTTCTGGGCCAGTGGAACGAAATTCTGGTTCACTTTCCTAGCACAGGCTCTTTTATCACTGGGGACCGGGGCCAGAGAAGGCATCAGCTCAGCCTACACAGGTGGGTGGTGTGTCCAGCCACATTGTGGGGAGCATTTGAGAAAGCTGGCCCTCATTTACCAGATATGACACCCCTTGAGAATCCCAGGTTGGCCCTGCTATGGTGCTGGTGAGAGGGGAAAGGCCGGTGGCCCTAGCCAAGGGAAATCAGGTAAGTGCCTTCAGGGGTCAAGACAGAGGGAGTCACCCCAAATGGAGGTGTGAAGGCAGGAGGAGAGGGCAGCAGAACAAGAACAAAAGAAGGAGGGGAGGAAAAGAGGGTAGAGGTCCGGCATGAAGAAGGTCCAGATCATCTCCCTTAGGGTATCTGAGGCTTATCTTCCAGGGATGGTCAGTATGTGGGGGTCTGTGGGTTACTTCAGTTTGGCCTCTTCCTCTGTTAAATATGGATGGCTGCAGCCAACGGAGATGGAGAAGTAACTCAAGTTCTCCACTTTGTCCCTAGAACAGATACAACTTGGTATGGGGGACTTTCTACAAGAGCCAGTTAATCACGACTCAGCACATTCTTACCATCAAGGGCTGTAAGTGACCTTGAACTTACAAGAAATTTGTGAACTCTCCATCCAGATGGTGTTTTCTAAAAGCTCTAACCACTGTGCTTGTCTTTAAAACAAAGTAGGAGCTAAAAATGGTCAGTTATGAGGCTGTGGATCCCGTCCTTCCCAGGTATCCTGGGAACCAGAAGGGAAGGATTCAAGTCCATGCCTTGACTAAATCCCTACAAAGCAACTAATTCTGTCATCATTCGGCCATGGCCCTACCACACACTCAATGCTGAGTTGTGGAAAATCCAGAATGTATGTGAACACTGATTATCATGAAGGGGCTAAGAATACTGTCTGCTCACAGGGGAAGATTGTGCCCAGGACCCAGCTGGATGCATAATGGATTTCTCTTGATTCCCTGATTCAGGCTGTTTTGCTTGGGTCAGCTCCCTGTGAGCGTAAATCTGGATAGAGGAAGATAAAGTATGTACTTTTTCTTGTCTGATGTTGTTGCCAGAAATATGCAATTTACATATTGCAAATCATGAGATGGTGAGAACTTAGAGGGAGAGGACAAGAGGGGACCTCCCCGATCAAATGTCCAAGTTAATGGTGAAGTTTGCAGTAATATATGGTGAGTGATGATCTTGTCCCTTCTGTAGAGAACCCTCCTACCCCCCACCAAGCATGTCACCGGGATGGTTACAGGTCATGCTAGGAGGGGTGGGTGCATCAGTACCCTCTACAGGGCTTTCCCAAACTACAGTCTCATGGTTCTCTCCTCCCACCTCCCACAAAGGTGGAAGTAAGCACAGGGAAGGTGGAGATATCTTACAAAGTGGTGTATACCAGAAATTCAAAAGACACATTAGAATTGAGGAGGGGCTTCCATTAAACCTATTTCTATATCAAAATCTTTAGATAAATAATATTCTATTATTAGGAAAGAAAAGGTAAGAAATGCCTAAGTTCTCTCTACATGGATGTCAAAACTGTAGCCATTAGTTAAGTTGTACAGGCGGCAGGCACTTGGCAAGACAGACTTTCTGACAAGAAAATTAAATCTGGAGAGATAATTCATTTTAGCAAACCAAATGGAAATTCTGGGAGACTCTAGATCAGTGGTTTTAAATCTTTTTTTTCCCTCATGGCACACTTGAACCTATAAACTTCTGCGGCACACTTAAATTATGTCAGTCAAAAAAAAAGAAGAGTAAAATATATAGTTTAATTAATAAATCTTAAAAAATTTTCATGGCACACCTAAAGTCATCTCACAGCACACCAGTGTGCCATGGTACACCGTTGAAAATCACTGCTCTAGATTGTACCTCTAAATGTCTTTTTCTGTGAAATCATCCCAGGGCCCGGCCTGCATCCTAGGTGAACTGAGTTCTTTCCTTATCTATGAACCATGCAAGAGATTCCCCTGGGCAGGGTCATTGGTGTTTTAAGCTGCTTTTGGCCAGTGCTTGGCTGAGGAGCATGGATAAGACGTCCTGCTGTCCTGCTGCTGAAAGGGGAACACTCTGCAGCCTGTAATCACTGCAGCGCCCACTGTCCTGACCTGTACAAGAGCCCACTGTTCCACATCATTGACATACAGACCAGAGTGTCTCTGGTCTCTAGGTTGTAAGGAGACACGTGACTTTCCATAAGCTGTCCTCGCCCCCACAGGATTCAGCACAACTCTTTTCAGAATGAATAAACAAATGCAACCCACTGACATCTTTATTTTCCTAAATTTGTCTGTTTGTAAAGACCTTCCTCTGTATTCCCGATAATCAGTTGCATTTTTCCTTTCTCTTAGTGTCTCAGTTCCTCTATCACCCTTCCTGGCTCTCACTCACGCTCACTCTCTCTCAATGTCTCTCCCTCTTAGACTTCTTTATGCTGGCCAGTGGGCACATAAAGATGCTTAACGTGGCACCAAATTCATATGGGGGAACAGCTCTGGTCAGCACATGAGGAGGGCATGTGTGAGAAGGCTGGGCCAGCACTGCCCTGGGACTCACCCAGAGGGTGGCAGAAGCCCTGCAGCCTCCTGGGGGGACTGTGGTCCCCTCATCTGCTGCCTTCACGCTGCAGCTCTGGGGCTGTGGCCACGCTGGCTCTTCTTCCGTTTGCTGCTCGCTTTTGCTCTTCTGTTTTCTTATGATCTGTGGAGGACAAAGGGAGCACTTTACTGGAGAGGCCTCCAGATGCCATGTGGAGTAACTGGGACCATCTTTGCAATTTTTTTCAACCACTCAAAAAACTTAATTTGAAAAGAGTATGAACTTATTTTTGGATCTGCTTTATGGTATAACAGCACAACCACAGCCTTGAACATTATAAGTATCTGAATGTCTGTTATATTAACAGCTTCCTCCATTTATTAAGTGCCTGGCATGTTTCAGACTCATCTAATTCCACAAGGCACATTCTATAATTCTCCTTATTTCACAAATGGAAAACAGATTCAGAGAACTGATCAGTTAAGACCACACAGTTCATACATGGTAGGGCTGGATCTCGAACTCAGAGTCTCTGGCTATAAGTCCTGACTTTAGGAAGCATCTGGAAGACCCACCAAGGGGGAAGATACCCACAGTCATCAGGAAATGCCTTCAGCTCCAGCTCATTGGCACCACTTGCCAGGTTGGGATAGTCATTTGGATTTAGTGAGTCAATCTGTACAGAGATCTCTGGGCTCTCAACTTCTTATAGGCAAGGAGTAGCCAAAAAACTGCTGAGCCACCAGGATGGGCATATCTTCAATGCCACACGGGATGATGAAAAGCAAGGCTGAGTCAAGGAGAACAGCAAACTGAGATGCCACGCCCAGGGATAGCCCTGGGGCCTGATCATGGCACATCCACCCAGCAGGGTGGGGACCTGGCCATGTCTGCCACCGCACTGCAGAATTTCTGGGGACCAGTGGCCTCCTATGCCTCCCATGCCTCCTCTCTGCAGGTGAGTGGGGTTAGCTCTGCTTTCCTGTTTCTCTTCCAACATTATAGGTTGGAGATGTAGGGAGAGAGGGTTGGTTTACTTAGTTCACAGATCTCTAGCTGGAAAAGAGCTAGATTTGGATCAAATGTATTTTGAACGATGACTAAATCAGACATTTGGGGTTTTTTGGATGGGGTGAGTGTACCTGGCATGTGGATGAGACATGAAATATGGTGACCAAAAAAGATGTCTGTTTTTTTTCAACACTGGATTTTTTGATGGTGGGAAAGCAATTTGCATTCAGTGCAGGGTGGAATAAAGTACATGAGGTATCCACTCTTTATTAAAAAATAGTCTTGCGTTAGATGATTTTGCCCAGCTGCAGGCTGTTAAGTGTTCAGAGCATGTTTAAGACAGGCTGGAATAAGCTATGATGTATTAGGTGGAGGTTAGGTGTATTAAGTGCATCTCAACTGACAATATTTTCTGCTTAGGAAAGGACTACTATGTCAATGCAACCCCATTCAGGAGCATCTGTATTTGGTCATTGATCCAAGTTTACAGAGCTTCAAAAACCTTGGAAGTTGTCTGAGTGATAGGATAGTCTTTGTTATACCAATGAAGTGATTGAAGGTGGGGTCTTTAGATAACCTCAGGATGAAGGCTAGTTGCCAGAAAAACCAAGTATGGTATATGATTAGGGAGTTGTAACTTTCAGCTCCAGCCCCTGACCTCTGTGGAGAGGAGAGGGACTGGAGAGCGAGCTCAGCCAGGTGCCCGATCACCAAATCAGTCATGTCTACTTAGTGACACCCCCATGAACACTCCATAGCAACGAGGCACAGAGTGCTTCCTCTTGGCCCACACCAAGAGGGCAAGGAAGCTCCGCACACCCTGTCCCCAGACCCTGCTGTCCCACGTATCTCTCTCAACCGGGATGTTCATTCATACCCTTTATATTGTGAAGGAAAAATAAAATCTCGGGACCTCTAAAACTCATTATGCCCAAGGAGAGATCAAGTCTGGAAACTCCACAAGGCATTTCCCTCCTCTCCCCCAGATGAGCAGCTGTTGTTTCACGACTCTGTGTCATGACTACACGCGTGAGACAGGTTCCCATGATGGCAAAGGTCTTCTGCCTCTGCAGATGGCTTTCCTCACAGCTTACTTATGGGAAATGCTTTGTTAGCCCTGAACTTGTCAGATATATATCCCCTATAAAACAAGTATGTGCCAGGGCGGCACCTGTGGCTCAAAGGAGTAGGGCACCAGCCCCATATCCTGGAGGTGGTGGGTCAAACCCAGGCCCAGCCAAAAACTGCAAAAAAAAAAAAAAAGTACGTGCCAAGCCTAACCTCAGGACTGCAAGGTAAATAAGTTCTTGATCTTGAGTTTCATACTGACAATATTGATTACAAGCTTATCTCGGCAGATGCAGGCCCAGGACAGAGGTGATGAGTCACGCCTCTGCCCACCCTGAGCAGACTCCATAATTACTTTCTCCCTCTGCTCCCTTTTGAGTTACCTTGTCTTACATGAAATGTAGATTTAACAAGCATCAATGGGAGCCCTGAGTGTGACTGTTTGCCTTACTGGCAACCCACCCCTGTTCCCTCCTTTCCGTGGCCCTCTCTTAAATACTTATTTCCAGATCCTGGTGCAGAGAGCCCAGAACACTGATGCTTTTGTGGTCTGTGCCCTTCCCAGATACATTCTCAGACTTTGGCTTAATGAACTTCAACTGAGTGTGACCCTCCTTTCCAGTTTCCAGTCATTTTTTAGTTATCAATATTAAACTGGTGATCAAGGCACTTGCCTCAGTTCCATGAGTAGTTCTGGCAGGTTATCGAACCTGAGGGTCTGGGGCATGGAACTCCTGAATTTGTTGTATCCCAGACAGAAGTGTGGTGACTTGGGGGTACCTGAGACTTGTGCTGACATCTGAAGTAGGGGAAGTCTTGTGGGACTGAGCCCTTAACTTGTGGGATCTGCACTGATGCCAGGTAGTAATCAAAAGGGGATTGAACTTTAATTCTCAGTTCATGTCTGAGAATTGGTGTGGAAGAGAGAAAGATCTTTGTTTAAAGCCACAGAGTCTTGGGGTGGTTGGTGTTGCAGCAGTAATTAACTGGTATATTGTGTCAGGGAGAGCTTAGGGCATGGAGTTGGCAGGGGTGACTGCAAAGCTCATTCAGCAAGAGATTATCTGGGAATTGTGGGGAGGGGACCCAGTTACACACACACACACACACACACACACACACAGCCCAGGAAACAAAGCCATAGAGCAGCCTGCTTGGTGCTGAGAGCTCCTGATTCCCCACCCACTAGCTCAGTCCCCAAAGGCGACCACACTCACACTGCTTAGGATTTGCAGTGCAGTGCAGTCCCTCTGTGCTGGCTTCCAGAGTACACAGGTGAGTGTGATAAAACGCCATGCAGGGGACAGTCCCCATTTTGGTCTGCAGTTTATTCAGGTCCCTGGGGCCCACCTACCTTCTGCAAGATCGCTGTGGCCAGCTCCTCAGTTAGCTCCTCCTTGTGGTCCCGCAGGTAACTGGCCTCATTCTGCTTGTCCTGCAGAGGGAACAGAATGACCAGGTGCTCTGGGTGGGAGGGCAGGGCTTGGCAATCACTTTCTTGTGGAGTCTCACCCACAAATGCAGATGGAGGTCTGGCACTGCTCTAGTCCAGGCTGTTGGGACACTGATTTCCCTACAACCTGTACTTTCTCCTGGTGGCCTGGACCCTAACCCATACCTCCCCACAGAGAGGGGCAGGAGAGGCCCTACCAGGCTGTCCCCATAGGCTTCTGCTTTGGAAATTGCTTCTTCGATGGCTTCTTCAGCCACCCGCAGGGCCACCGCCAAGGTGTCCATCACACTATGTCCTAGACAGGAAACAGAACACAGAGCACTTTATAAAAGGGAATGATCAGTAAGATGATTGTTCCACTCTGAGCTCCTCTACTTAAATCCATCAGGGACTCCTGGTTAGTAGGCCACAAACTGCTTTGGTGGCACATGAGTCCCTCCACCCTTCACACTGCCTCATTCCTCCTCCTGTGCCTCATTCTGCTGCTGCCACCTCTCTCTTCATTTCTCCTCCTCTGTTCTCTGGCCCCATAAATGAGCCAGTCCCTGGGGACTCCAAGGCTGGCCTAAGGGTTCCTCCTCTAAAAAATTCTCAGACCTCTTCTGCCCCTCCCTGGGTGTCTGGGCTTGCTTTCATGCAGCCAAAAGGGGCCCATCCCTTGATCCCTTCCCACAGTTCATTTTTTTTATTTCTTATGGCATAACTGTGTACATTAATGCAATCATGGGATACAGTGTGCTGTTTTCATATACATTTTGAAATACTCTCATCAAACTGGTTAACATAACCTTCTTGTCATTTTCTCAGTTATTGAGTTAAAACATTCATACTTTGCTTTTAGAAAGATCCACTTGTACCCTTGTAAGATAACCCATAGAGGTGACCCCACCAATCACCCTCCCTCGCCCTATCCACCCCCTCACCTCCCCCTCCCACCCCCTTCCCATATTCTAGGCTATAATTAGGTTATGACATTCCTATAAATGCTATGAATTAGTTTCAAAGTAGGGCTGTGAACATTGGATACTTTTTCTTCCATTCTTGAGATACTTTACTGAGAAGAACATTTTCTAATGCCATCCATATGAAGGAGGTAAAGTCTCCATCTCACAGTTCATTTTGATTGTATTCACTGTTGGATCCAACACTAAGCTTTGGTTTAACCACATCGAGTGGATTAAAGATGACTGAACAAGAGAGCTTAATGTAAGGAAAGAACGGATCTTTATCCACTTTCTCAGGTAAAGATTATGTTTTCTTTTGTGCATATATCATTGCGATAATGGGAATAAAAGTTATTAAATGTCCTGTGGGAACTGGGATGTGCCTATAATTTGCAAATACAAAATCTATGGAAGATTTTTTAGATTACAAGCCAATATCAATAACAGCACCATTGGCCAACCTCACAGAGGCTGTAGGCCAAGAAGTTCACATCCATGATCACAATTCTGATAACAATCCAGTAAAGACGTAGCATTTTACTAATGGCAAATTTGAGGCATAGAGCCTTTAAATAACTTGCTAAAGTTCAACAGCAAGACAGTAAGTTTAATATCTGAATTCAGTTCTCTGTTTCCCAAACCCTTGCTATTAACCACACAACTGAGATGAATACAAGCCAACATGCTTTTGAAACAGTGCTATCTTATTTTTCATGAAGGTGTTCTCCTTCTCTCTCTCTTCTTATGCATATGGCAAAAAATGAGAGAAAATATTCCCAGGTCAAAGGACTTCCCCAGGTGACAAAATTCTTTTTGGAACTAAGTGCTTAGAAGAGTTTTGCTTCCCTTGAGCTACTATATTTTAGCTTCTTACTTGTGAGAGTTTCGATTATCCCTCTCTTAATTTGCTCCAGAGATCCAACTCACATCAGATCTAGGAACATACATATGCAGGGGTTGGGTGCCTGGGTCCTCTTTCCCCCTATTTCAACCTCTTATTTCCATTTATAATCTCTAATCATATTCTGTAACATATGCAAATCTCCTGTAAGGTGCCAAAATTCTATGTGGGATGAGACAGGGTGAAAATATATGTAGTATCAATTTGTTAATTAATCACTCAATTAAAAAAAAATTCAAGTTTCTTAAACTCCTAAAGGTGCAACTGTGGACAGAAAGTGGCATTTGGAAAACATAATAAAATCTAAAACCAACCAAGTTAAGGTCAAAGTGATCTAGTCCACAGATGAGTCCCTGGCAGGGAGGCTATGACAGTCATGATGGAGCCGCATGGAGGCAGCCTGGCCCAGGGCTCTGCACACTGCCAGGAAAACTGAACACAGTTTTCCCAATGTTTTGATAACTAGAACCCATAAAATCTAAGTTGTCATCATGCTAAGTGCTCCTTAGAGGGAGACTGTGTCTCTCATTTCTCTTTTTCAAGATAGCCATTGGTGCATTTTTCACAGAAGAGTTTCACCCATTTTTGTTGAACCCTATAAATGTTTACTGAGGACCTCCTGTGTGCCGGCTCTGTTGGACAGGCTAAGCCCATGCTCTCATGTGCTTTCCAAGCTACTGGGTGATTCGGCACGTAAGTAACCACTAAGCGGTGCACCTAACTACCCCCATGCCAGGGACAGTCTCCAAGTCCAAGTCCCTGGACAGTAACACCTGGGGCCACACCCAGGACAGCTTTGGATGCCACGTTTATTCATGATTCTTGGATGACAGTGATGTGGAACACTGGCTGAAAACTGAAGGCTCTGGTCAGTGTTTCTAAGAGAAAAACTGGTGGGGGTATGGAAGAAAGTTAAAAAGTCAAGTGGCTACAGTTCAAAAGACCAGTTAGACGGTGGGATGGTTAGTTTTATGTCAACATGGCAAGGCTATAGTACCCAGTTATCAAAGACTAAACTCACACTAATTCCTGTGAAGGTATTTTGTAGAAGGGGTTGACCTCTGCAATAAATTGACTTTACGTGAGGGTTACCCTTGACAATGTGGGTGGGTCTCATCTAATCAGTTGAAAGGCCTTAGAGAAAAAACTGAGAGTTCCCAGAGTAGAAATCCAGCCTCAGGACTGCAGCATCAATTCTTCCTGAGTTCTACCCTGTTGCCCTACCCTATAGATTTCAGGCCTGCTGAGTTCCATAATTGCAAGAGCCAATTTCCTTAAAATGAATCTCTCTGTGTGTGTGTATGTGTGTACATATATACATATGTATCTCCTATTGGAGAACCTTGACTTATACAGATGATCACCAAAATTAACAATAATACAGGAGACTTTTGAACAGAGAGATGCACAGATCATGAAAAGAAAAAGATAACATTGGAAATGGAGCTGACAGGCACTTGAATGGCTGGGTGGAAGCGGGGAGAAGAACTGAAGGAAAGATAACTTTTGCTGTTGGACCTAAGTGGCTGAGGACCTCGGTTAGGACATGCTCAAGGTGAGAATTCTATAGGATCTCCAGGTGCCAATGGCCAATTATTAGATATCTGAGTCTAGAACTCTGGGATAAAATCAAGGGTACACATTTCAGGTTCAGTATCATCCTGAGGCCGTATGGTGCTGGGTGGTAAACAGAGGGCAGAGGACACCTGCATTAGTCAGGGTTCTCCAGAGAAACATAACCAGTAAGAGGATAGATACAGATACAGTTATAGATAGATAGATATAGACATAGATGCATAAGAGGAGATTTGCTGTGAGAATTGGCTCAGGTGATCACAGAGGCCAAGAAGTCCCATGATATGCTGTGTGCAGGCTGGAGACCCAAACGAGCAGGTAGAGTAATTCAGCACAAGTTTGAAGTTCTGTGAAATGAGGAAACCATTGGTTTTAAGCCCTGGAGTCTGAAAGCCCAAGGATTAGAAGCTCTGATGTTTGAAGGCCAAATATGATGGGTGCCTCAGCTCTAGAAGAGGGAGCACAACTTCTCCATTTTTCTACTTTTTGTTCTATCTGGGCCTTCGCGGGACTGGATGATGCTTGCCCACATTGGGGAGGGTGGGTCATCTCTACTCAGTCTATGATTCAAATGCTGTTTTCTTCTGGAAACACTCTCACAGATGTACCCGAAATGATGTTTTACTAGTTATCTGGACATCCTTTAGGCCAGTTAAGTTGACACATTACAATTAACCATCACAGTACCCAAAGGGAACAGAAAGCATGCAGATAAGCTGTAGGGGGCACAGGAGATGGGCAATTCAGGAAGCACTGCTTATCAAGGTCCAGTGCTCCAGAGCAGAAGCTGAAGTGATGGAGAAGGTTTTACTCGAAATTAGAAGTTTATTTTGCTTTCAACCACAGCTCTAGGGAGACTATTATATTGGTACAAAAAGGTAGCAGTTAATCCGTAAATGGTACATTCTTTACAGGAATGTTTTAATACGAGATGCACAAGTGAGTGGACTGATTATGTTTCAACTCTAGAAGAACATTTGCTAGTTGATTGCAAAGTATCTTGCAACTGGGTAGTGAATGCAGTTCTGTTGGCCGCAGCTGGATATACTCACCTATTTTGATGATGCATTTACACAATTGGCCATAATAAGAAGACCCAGACAGACTCACATACAGCGATAAACAGTTGCATTCAAGGGTAACAATGCAACTGGGAGATTTGGAAGGTGTTTATATTTTTCCAACTTATCAGTAATTGTAAATTCTTGAGCAACTTTACCTTCTGATTGTCTATAAAATGTTGAATCGCTGCCAGAAATGCTTCCTTCATTCTCTAGGTTTGACTCAAAAAAGCTTCCTCCTGGAGGAGGGGAGAGGAAGAGAGGCAGAGAGGATGAATCAATGAGCGTCAGTGCATTGTGTCATTGAATTAGAAGACCACCATTACCACTCTGATAAGTTAGTCTTGAAAACGGGTATAGGAGTCACTGGGTCCCACAAAATACTACCACTTTTAACCTGTTGCTTTTCTCTTCTCATACTGATTCCTGGGGTAGCATTCTGCCATCCCTAACTTTCTTACAGCACCTTCTTTGAGGTATGGAGTTAAAGACAGAATAATAAAATCTGAGAGATATGAGCTCAATTCTTAGACCTGTATATCACTGGCTGTATGACTTGGAGCAAGTTATTTAACCTCTCTAACCCACAGCTTCCTTACGAGAACAACAGGAATAACAACAGCCCTCTCCTCGATTGTGATGAGAGGTTGCACACATCTGTAGCTGGAGTCCATGGCATCAATCCACACAGCCGCCTTTAGCTAACGATTTAACCCTCTTCTGTAGAACAGAGTCCATGTGAAACAAACCAGGAGGGAGGTAAGGTAAGCCATGGTATTTCAGGTCTACTGTCTGTTTTCTGGTCTTCTATCTTTCTCTTTCTCTCTCTCTTTTAAGAGACAGAGTCTCATTCTGTCTCCCAGGTTGGGGTGCAGTGGTGTGATCATACCTCACTGCAGCTTCCAAGGCTCAGGTGATCTTTCTGCCTTAGCCTTCTGAGTAGCTGAGAGTATAGGTATGAGCCACCATGCCCAGTTAATTTTTTTCTGTAGAGACAGGGTCTCTCTATATTGTCCAGGTGTTCTCAAATTCCTGGCCTCAAGCAATCTTCCTGCTTCAGCCACTCAAAGGGTGGGTATTGTAAGTGTGAGCCACCGTACCTCAGCTAGTTTTCTTTTAATTGAACACATAGCTCTGGTTTCCAGACTGGGAAGAGCAACTAGCTAAGCCCTTTAAAGTCATTTTAAAGTTAGAGATCTTTACTCTCTGTGCTCCCATATTAATTCATCAAATGATATTTTGAATGGGGGGGATAGTGGCTTTTTAAGATAATCACTGCACCCCAGTGCCCTAATAGCATCGAGAAAGAAGGTGGCTCAACAGGAATTATTTCAGTGGATACTGGTTGAAAACACTGTTTGACAGAACCAAGAAAATAAATGCCAGGCTACAATGCCTTAGCTAAAAAAGAGACAAATGAGATTGATACTAAATCAAACTCAGCAGTGAGGCCTGAACTTTCGGTAATACACCCTGTGCTTTCTTGCATAAGTTCCCCTAGAAAGTCTATGGGTATTTGCAGCAGGATGAGCAGGCTGCTGCCCTTATGAAATAAGCTGTTAGTGTGAAGCCTATCATAGTTAGTTCAGCCTGACCATAGGCATTGTCTGTGTTTGTGTTTTTTGAGCAGGCTTTCAAAAGCCTTCCAGGAGTCTACTTATTCTAGCTCTGTGACCTTGAGGAAAGGACTTTGTCTCCCTGGGTCTCTGTTTCCTAGCTTATAAAATAAAGCTTTAGGATAAGTCATCTCCTCAGTTCCCAGGCTATATAAACATCTAACTGCAGATATTCCAATCTGGCATGTCTGCAGCCAAACTGTCCACGAGCATCTACTATGTGCCTGGCCCTGAGCTAGGTGTTAGGGGTACATTAACAAGCAAAGCTTTGCCTTCCCTGCCCTGGAAAGCTTGAAAGTCTAACACGAGAGAATTCATTAATCAAAGACACATAGAAAATTACAGATATGCTAAGTGATCTGATGGAGAGGTTCACAGTACAGAGAAAGTGCTCAGCAGGGAAGGTTGACCTAGTCGGTGAGGAACCAGCCAGGAAGGTGTAAGGAGCGGGAGAGCATCCAGGATGCGCAAGGGCTTGCACTGGGACTGGCGGTGGGAGAACAGGGCTCATCCCAGGACCTAGTCCGAGGCAGTGTGACTGGGCTGCCAAGGGGAAGGGAAGGTTGCATGAGATGACCTGGGGACTCAGACCATGGGGGTCACAGTGTTCACATCAGTGTTTGGATCTTTATTACAACAGTCATGTGAAGCCAGTACACATTTCACAGAGGTGACCTGGTGAGATCTGTGTCTCCGAAAGTGCACTGTGGCTGCTGCATGGAGATCAGCCTGGAAGGCGCAGACTGAAGGGTAGGACATGGGAGCCCTGCACGCAGCTCACTTTCCTCACTTTACCTGTGATGGGAAAGAGAACGGCAGGGTAATGAGTGGAGGAAAATGCAGTCAAGGAAGAGGGTAGGAAACAGGAGAGACCCACATGGGTTCATAAATTCCAGTTAAGAGAGAGTTGAATGGGTAAGGAGGGCCCTGAAAGGTGCCAGGGGTCAGATGCAAAGACCAACAGAAGGGGCAGGAGGCTGAGAAGGGCAGCACCCGCCCCAGCAGGGCAATGGGGGCAGATGACAAAGACCCAGCTTGGTACACCTGTCTGCCATGGGAAGGGGGAGGTATGGTCATCTGCTGAGAGGATGGGAGGGCAGCAGGGGAATGAGATGAGAGAAGATCTGGAAATAATCTTTGGCAGACTGAGCTCACCAGGGCATGTTTTTAATCTTCTAGTACATCCCTGTCCCTTCTGTTTCCCTTTAAATTCACAGGTGGGAGTTATCAGTGTCCTTTAGGATGACGTGATTTTTCCCAAGGGCAAAAAGCAATTGAATTGTTCTGAAAAGCAGTGACTAAGCAGCTAGTCAGAGGAAACTCTGATTTCCCATGGCTCAGCATTTTCAAAAGATCACATTTGTTAATCAAATCCCAGATAAAGGATGTAACAGACCTTTTGAAAAATCATGTCAAAAACCAGATATAGAATGATAATAAATAAAAGCATAGTTTATTTTTACCATTGTACTTATTTGACTCTAAATAAAAGCATATATTATTATTGGCACACCTGCCAATTATAAGAGGGACTTTATCTAACAAATGCTATCAGTGTAATCTAATTCTTTGTACACTAATGAATCCCAAACAATAAAAAAAGGAATAAAAAAGTATAAAGTTAAAAAGCATACAAAACTACTCCACCCTTCTAGAAATTAGAACAGTTGTTACCCTTGTGGGAACTAATGGCTGGGAGGGACCATAAGAAAACTTCCAGGGTTCTGATAATATTCTGGTTCTTGGTTCAGGTTCTGCTTATATAGTTATATGAATTTTGTAAAAATTCATGTGGCCGCATGCTTATTACATGCACAGTGTGTGCAGGTATATAAAACTTCAACAATAACTTTATGTACATTTTTAAAATTTAATAAATGTATTTTTTAAAGCATATATTATTTATCTAATTATCTAAAGATTCAGTGTATTAGTAATGGACACTTTTATCTTTTCATGTAGTATGTCTTTTTAGAATAACTTTTGAAAATATTATGCTGGGTCTATCAGATAAGCCTTGTGAACACATTACCTTTGGATATATTATTTACATTAATAAAGGTATTTTCTTCTCTGACTTCACTAAAATTTTGGCTCTGAGGTGGCACAGTCCCACTCATTTTGTTACTTACTAATTTTAAGCCAGGTGGGCACAGTAGGTGCTCAATACATTTTTACTGACGGAATGAATAAATGTTAGGTTTCTCGCACAAAACAAATGGGTCTCCTTTTGGACTAAATGCAATTTCAATGAACTGAGTGTTTTCAGGGCAAACTACACTGGTCTGTGTAGTGGAGACGTTTCGTAGGTGAAAGGGGCGTTGGAGACCCAGAGGCCTGGAGCACCGTGCATGCCTTGTGCATTTTCCGTATTATGTTCTGACAATCAAAATTCTGAAAATAAGTTGAAGAACTCCGCTGAGCTAATTACTGTGAAGTTCCAGCTGACGTTCTCAGTGTTTGGCTACATCTAAAAATAATCCAGGGAGCTTTAAAAAATATGAAGACAGAATCCCACCTTCAGATATTCAGAAGTAATTGAAGGTGGTTTGGATGATGATTCTGGGCATTAGGATGTTTTTTCACAGCTTTCTAGGTGACCCTAGAGTGTAGTCATGGTTGAGGATGGCAGGTGACATACTTGTAATGGGTGTTTGGTGACAGGTAAAACCTAATACTAATGGCTCATTAGTTACACCAGGAGGCTACTTCAGCCCTGGAAGATTTCTCCATACTTGAGGTGTAACTAAACTTCCCATGCATCTTACAGAATATATCTAATTGATTTATGATTACGGCTTTACAGGTTTGAGTGCCATCTCATTAATTGTCTTCTATCTGCTGTCTTCATGTTTATCCAAAGGAAATCTTGGTTTAAATGGGGAAACCAATCATATTAAAGGGTCTGATTTTTTTTTTTTTTTTGAGACAGAGCCTCAAGCTGTCACCTTGAGTAGAGTGCTGTAACATCACAGTTCACAGCAACCTCCGACTCCTGGGCTCAAGCGAGTCTCCTGCCTCAGCCTCCCAAGTAGCTGGGACCACAGGCGCCTGCCACAACGCCTGGCTATTTTTTGATTGCAGCCATTATTGTTGTTTGGCAGGCCGGGGCTGGATTTGAACCTGCCACCTTAGGTGTATGTGGCTGGCGCCTTAGCCACTTGAGCCACAGGTGCCGAGCCAAAGGGTCTGATTTTAATATTTCTAGGCAGTGTCTTGTATCCGTAAAGCGATTTTAAGATTGAACTAATGCAATAGTGAGGATCTAAGATATGCCAGGCATTGAGCCACACTTTGGTAACAAAGAAATAAAAATGCCACCACCTGCATATCATGGTCCAGCAGTAGAGGCAGCTGTGTCAGCCATCACTGGAATGGATAGTAACAAGTGTGAAAAGTGACAAGTGCTGTGACTGTGTCTCAGGTGAGAGAAGTGGTGAATCACAGAGGCCCAGCACCTAAATCTGCTTCAATCGTGGCAGACACTTACTTCCAGTAAATGATTTTCCTTTGAAAATGACACTTGTAAATTTCAAAGCCCTGCACTAGCCCGCCTGGGATTCATGTCTAACTTCTCTGCCTGTGGGTCCTTAGAGAGAAAGGGAAAGAAATGGAAATTGTGCTTTGTGCTACAGGATTCTCCACACGTGTTTTCTTCTTCCTTGTTCTGCATAAAGTGGTGAAGAACACTTAGGGGATTTGAATTTGGTGACATTTAAAGGGGCACATATGGCAGACCTGAGGGTGCATAAGAGGAGACGGAAAGGACGGGATATAAATGAGTGAGCTGAATCTATTCTGGAACCTTCTTGAAACATCACTTTAGGTCGAAAAACTATTAACAGTATGACTTTTAAGCTTTATTTCTTTTTTGTCTCTCTTCTAGGGAAAAAGTTTGAGCAAAACCAATAAAAAGAAGATAAAAATAATATGTGGAAGCCTTTGGAAATGCTCTTTTAGCTGCAGCCTTCCTGAGCAGTTTGAAAGACAGAGATTCTAACAGCCACAAAAGGCCCTGGTGATTCTCCCTGTCTCACGCTTCCATCCTATTTTCCCCGTTGTCTAACTGGCTGGCATATTTTTAGATAAGACACAACCAAAGACTTTATTGAGAGTACAAAATTATAAAAATAATGATGGTGCACAAGCTCCAAATGAGATGGATGAGATTTTTTTTCTTCCCTGTTTCTTATGGATAAAAAGCATCTACCTGTGCTGGCAAAGGGATGAAAAAACTGCCACTAGGCTAAAAAAAAATAGCCTTTTCGGAGGACATGCTGTTCATATTCTGACAACCATTCCTTTCTCCTGGCTGGTCTAACATGACTAAAGAACATAATTTCTCACTTTAATTAACTTGGTTGTCTTTAATTGTCCTTCAAGCTCCTGGAGGAAGTTGACACTTTTCTAACTCTCTTATTACATCAGAGTCTGGGCCTGGTAAGAATAGAATTCCCGAATACAAAGGAAGTGAAGTGGAGGACATATCCTCCAAGGGCAGATATAGTCTGTCTGTAATCAAGCAAAAATGACTCTCCCACATTTTAATCATCAGGAGCTGATGATCAAGAGTCTTTAATTTCTAGGGGTCTAGAATTAAAACCTATAATTTGTAGGAATAGTTTTTTGGCCTTTGCGGCTTCTAACATATGAACTGTAGCTCAGTGGGTGCCGGAACCAAAAGAGTTCTTCTATTTCTGTTCCTCACTAGTGTCAGATATTTAAATGAATTTCTGTATTTCAGTGAAGTGTGCCCCAGTTTTCAGGGCCTCCAAACCAGGCCTTCTTCTACCCCCTCCAGCTCTCTGAAGTCTCCCAGAGCAGCTGGCAGTGAGCGTACCTAGAATGTCGAAGCATGCTCCACTCTCCAGCCGGTGTTTCCTGTACAGGTTCTTAAGGACCTTGGCACTGCCAAAGCGCTTGAAGCGGCTCTTAACATTATTATAAAACCATTCCAGAGACTGGGTCCTCAGAAGCCTAAGGAAAACAGAATTAAACAGAAGGTCATAATTATTAAATAGTGAATTACAAAGTTGCTAAAATGCTACCAGCTTCTTCCATCAAGATGTGGAGTTTATTTCTCTGCCCCTGTACTCTAGGCTGGCCCTGGGACTTGCTCTGACGTAGAGCGTGGTGAAAGTGATGCTGTGTGAATCTGGATCCTTGTGGTTTCTTCTCCTGCTGCTCTCAGGAATCCTGCAACCATTGCCATGTGAATAAACCCAAGCTCAGCTCTTGTGTGGTAAGAGGTTCTTGGCCCAATCATCCCTCTTGCCCCAGCCATAGCCGGCCAACCCCCAGAAAGATGAATGAATCCATTGATCACCCATTGACTGGAGACACATGAGTGACTTTGGGTGAGACCAGCAAGAACCATCCACCTGAAAAAGAAAAAGCCAATAAATGCTTTTTCCATTTTAAGCCACCAAGTTTTGGGGTGTTTAATAGTAGGCTTTGTATTTGATAGTCTTACTGCATTGACAGCATTTCTAATTCAGCTTGGGAAAGTAAAAATCGCAAGTGAGATGCCAAAATTCTCCAGATTTTTCCTTCCTGGGACCAAAGCACTGTGGGAAAGCAGCTTCCTGGTTTGCACTATAACGGTCACTGCAAAACACCAAGAAGATTCTTCTTTTTTATGCTTTGTCAGAACAAATTTCTAAAGCTCTTCAATTTTAAGAACAGCTTTTGTTATTTTCTTATTATGAATATAATGCTATACACTTTTCAAAGAAAAGCAAAATAAGTATAAAGGCTTCCAGTTCAACAGAGGAACAAACACATTTAGCTGCTCTTCCTCCCAGACCCCAGTGCAATGTGAGGAGATTTCCAAAGGAAAAGAAATCTATGAAAAAGATTTCAGCAAATTTATGGAGACATGGGAGTGAATGATAGCATAAAGGTAACAAAGAACACTGTCTTTCAACACAGACAGAAGAGCTTAGACTGACAAGATCTCATTTTGGTTTGGTGATTTAAAGAGATGTTGGGGTTGTGACATAGCACAACATGGTATTCAGAAAGGCAATTTAATGGTTTTGTAGACAACAGTGATGCTTCTTGGCTTCCTATCTCTAGTCCCAAACAAATGGGTAATTGGTTCTTAGGCCAAAAATAGAAAGTTTCCCAATAGAAGTTGGATAATCTGCTTGAGAATAGCTAGGACTTCAATAAGGAGGTCAATACCATACAGTGAACTCCTTCTTATTTTTTGTTGGGAGTCCCGTACAAGGCCTAACTCCAGATTTGGAGCTCTCAGTAAGTACCTCCAACCTCTGGCCCCAAATCCCTTTCAAAAGTGAGTTCTACTGGGAATACTGACCTACCCAATGGCAGAGGAGGCCCAGGCTGATTACCTTTATTAATCAACTAAGTCCTCTGTTACATAGATGACCAAGGATAATCAGGCATTTGAAATAATTCAATGGCATAAGAAGGAAGGACCATGACAAACTAACAAAATTTAATAAGGGCAAATGAAGATAATTCAGGGTGCTGAAGCTAACTTAAATTCTAAGTAATATCAATAGTGATATGAAAAGACACTACATCCATACAACAGGTCACAGTGATATAAAATATAAGTAGAGGATGAGAACTTCTTAGAAAAAGGAAATAGGATCAGTAAAAAAAAAATGGATAGAATATCTAAAAGTTAAAATCGGTATACATTTTTCAGAATATGAACTAAGAAGTCAAAAATGAGAGAAAAGAGGCATGGAGAGTCAACTCAGGAGGTCCAGCATCTAACAGGATTCCAAAAAGGGAGAAAAGAAAGACTAAAAGAAAAGGGAATAAAACCATAGATGTAGTGGTAGAAAACTTCCCCAAGCTTAGAAAGGCCAACGACTTCAGGTTAAAGGGCTCACCTACTGAATGCCAAATAGAATAAGTGAAACACAAAACAAAGCAAAGCAGACAAACTCCTCTAGATAATATCTTCATGAAAGTTCATATCCTGAAGAATAAGGAGAACTTAGGGGCTTCCAGACCAGAAAAAAAAAAAAAAAAACTGTTTTGCAAATGAACAAAAATAATACTATATAAATTATATGCCATAATAAACATCAAAATTTTTATTCAGTAACACTGAATGCTGTAAGATAGTAGAGCATAGATGTATTTCTAAGCCCTGAAAAGAAATGACATGAACTTAGAATTCTATGCTCAGCCAAAGTACCATCTCATGAGGGCAAAATAAAGATATTTTCAGACGTGTTAGACTTCAGAAAATGTATATGCTTTCTGGAAAAAAAAGATTCTTAAAAAGATTCCAGGAGAACTAAGAGTCATCCAAGAAAGAAGAAATCCTGGGACTTCTTTAAAAAAAAAGAGGGGAGCTGTCCCAGTTGTGTAACAGAGAGAAATTCCAGGACCACAGCTGTGCAGCAGATCTGGAAAGCAAGCAGCCCAGATGGGCAAGTCCGTAAGCACGTAATTAAGAAGACCTGGGTGAAGAGAAATGTTGAAGGAAGAGCCACATCTTTCTTTTGGTGATAAGAACAAGGAAAGACAGCTAGAAGTTCCAGAAGACACAATCCCCCCCAACACAAAGATCTAAAAACAGTTTAAGAGAATATGGTCTAAATAGGAAACAAATTAAAAGTTGTAAGGTTTTGTCAACCAATAAAGAAAGAGATGATAACACTTTCCTCTTCAAGTAGTCCAAGTGTTGTAGCCAAGGATTAGTATGTTTCTCTCCATGAATTTCAAGTCATGACTTTGGTCTATAGCAAATACAATTTATATAATTAAAATACTTAATTATATAAAGGTTTAATTTTCACATCCCATTTATAGATAAGGGCCCACGTTTTTAAGACATTTGCTTTTGCCACTGAGAGAAAAATTAAAAGTTATTGAGAGCCTGGTATTAAATGGAAGCTGGCAGGAGAGAGAGGGAGGACTGATGGGAGTAGTTAAGAGGTGCCTATTTCTTCATCTTAACTCCAGGATGGAGCCAGAATCTTACAGGATGGACCAAAGATAATGGCTCAAATTTGTTATTTAAAGTCATAGAGGTCACCCAAGTATAATAAAACTCATGATAAAGCTTCAAGGGGTAGGGAAGGAAATTGGAAAAACGTGAGCTATTCACGAAAGTCTAAAGTTGGAAAATTTGAGAAATGGCAGGATAAACATATTACTGAGGACTACGGTGGAGAGCCCCAGAAACGCTTCAGTGTGATTTCCTGGGGGGCGGGGACTTGGCACGGATTTGGGGACATAAAATCCTTTAATCTATTATCATTCTGTACTATTTGACTTTCCTTTAATGAAGTTCATGTATTACCATAAAAGCACTGAAATAAAGTAAGCAAAAGAAGCTTTGGAAAATCACCCTAAGTTCTATGACTGGAACCTGAGTTTAGACGAGTGTTCTTTCAGGCTTCTTTCTAGGCTTGTTCTTAATTGGCCTGCACAGAGATTAGGAGGGGTCTAGGAACTTGTGGCACTGTTACATGTGCACAAATGTCAGGATCTGCTTCTGACACCACTTGTCAGGGCCCAGGACTGGTCAGGACTCGGGCCCGGCTTAGGTGGGCTCTGGACGTGGACTGTTAAGCTACCTTGCTCAGGAACAGTTTCTCTTAGGTGCTTGAGGGCTATCTACTTTAGCTGGAGAGAGAGAGAGAAAGTGTGTGTCTTAGAGAGAGTAAAGCAGTCTTCTTAGAACAGATAGATCTTAGTGTTTAGTAGAGCTTGGTAATCTTCAGCAGAGAGACACCGCGCTGGCGTTCTGCAGGCAGGAGAGGAGACAGAGTCAGAGTAAGCAAGTCCCTGATAGTATGCGCGTGCTTTTTGACTGCCTTCTCCAGCCTAATAAAAGGCTGAGCTCGTGCTTCTCAACACCACAGGCGTAGAGACTACCAATTCACCAATGCTGTCATCTCGCGAGCTCTCTCATGCTTGTTAGAACTAAATCTCTCTCCATGCCCTTTTTACCAAGGTGATCCATTACAGGTATTTCCTGTAACTCACTCCTAGCCATAGGCCATACGGGCTACTACACACAAATATGTGCATGTTTGTGCACACATCAGGTGTGTGGGGGCATGTAGGCACACGGGAAGGCAGGGACCTAGAGGTCAGACTAAAGCCTGTTGGTGCTGACGAGGTCCTGGGGGCCAGAGCTGCTTTGAGAGATTGGGGTTTCTCAAGAGGGAGGATGCTCTCTCTCACCCAACAAAGCAGTTCTGTGGACAGAGGCTTTAGGCAGCAGCAGGGCAGTCACCTAGAGTGGCCAGGAAGAAGTGATGGTGGCCATGGGGAGGTGCCCCCTTTTATCTGGTTAGAGATTTCAATGAAGAGAAGAAGCCATATGGGCTTTTCCTGAGCATATCCAAGAATTTTTAGAATAGGTAATGTTCACAGAATCTTTGAACAAACATGGATCACACAGGCTTTAATCTAGCTGTTCTCTCTGCCTGTAACACACTTCTCCACAGATAGTCCCATGTCACTTCATTCAGGCCTCTGTGTAAATTATCACTCCCCTTGGGAGGCCTTTCCTGACCACTTGCTAAAATACCACTATCACACCAACACACCTATCATCTTACTCTGATTTCACTCCCCATATTTCTTTAGAACACTTCTCTGTACCTGCTGTTTAATGATATATAATTGATATGTTATAAAAATAATATATTGTCATGTTAACAATTATCAATTTGTTTGTTATCTATATCCCCTCTCCAGTAAAACATAAGGTCATGGCAGGCTTTTTCCCCACTCCTGTATCTCATGTGCCCAGACCACGAAATGCACAGAATCTAGTAAGTGATGCATGACACTGTTTTATAACTTGTTTTGTTTCCCCATTTAATATTCCTGATTGACTTTAACATTGCTGAATAGATTTCCCTTATAATGTTTTTAGTCATCTCAGAGTTCCTCACAATATGGACACAGTAAGATTTTACGTAAGTGATCCCCAATCTTTGGATGTTGAATTCTTCCTATTTATTTGGTTA